TCCCTCTATATATAGTCTAGTGTGCACATAGGGAGGTTACCCATGGGCTAGTAACCCTAAAGTAACTATGTTGTCGGTCTGATTCGGCGTGACGTCCGAGTATCCACTTTGTTTGATTTCGCATTTCATTTTCAAGTTGATAACTAGAAGATGTTATAACTTGTTGTTTCTTATTTGTCGTTCCATTTTAAGTTACAGGATGTTAACTTTGCGAAATTGTGCTTTATGCGTTGTATTGGAAGTTCCAATGTTGGTTAAATTGCATCGATTTTGAAAATCGTGTTTTGATGTTCTAATAAAGCTTAGGATTGATCCTATTGATTCTTTTATAACATAGACGTTAGGTGGCATGAACCATTACTGTTATTTTGTGCTTTAGATTCTAAGTTGATGGCTTTGAGAACTTAAACCTTGTTGTATTGTATAACATGCTCTTTTGTTGTTGAATTGCATGGATAATGTGATTCTTGTTAACTTGTATTCAAATATGCTTTTGTCACGTTGTATGGATTACTCTAGACCTAGTTCAATTGTATTGAAAATGCAGTTCATGTTAATCTATGCTCAAGCATTCTTCTTGTCGTGTTCTTTGGATTATCCTAACCATGATTCGTTTCATACACGTATGTATATCATGATTCTTGTTGCTTAGACTCTAAGGTAGCTTAGGATGCTCCCCGAGTCTCACTTGGACATAGACGTTAGGTGGCATGAGCCCCTTTAACATGTTTCACCTTAAGGTGATAAATTTGTAAAATATTAGGTCGATGCATGCTCATCTCCTACGAGTAGCTTTATGTTACTCACCCCTACGATACTGGGGCATATTTCAGGTACGAAGACTTGATTCGTGAAGCCTAGCATTCCTTGGATGTCGTGTAGCTTTCAAGTTTCCATTTCATGCAAATGTTAGCATGAAATGTCATTTTGTATACTTATATGTCAAAATATGTATATTTGATTCCATGTATGTAATGTGTACTTAAGTACACTCCTTTCAATGTATTTGATATGTATGAGATGAGGCCGGAGGCCAATGACATGTATATTGTATTCTATGCAACTTTTTAACTTCATGAAATGTTATGAAAAACTTGAAAAATCGCAAGTCATTCCTTCACCACGGTTGCATCGGGTGTGGGAATTCTATTTTCATTCTTTTATAGGGTCTTATTAATCATGTTTGAAGTATGACCAAGGGCCAAACGGTCATTTGATCCCGTTTTGAATTTTTGGATTCCATGTTTTCCATTCCAAGTCCATTTTCGCCTTTTTGCCCGTTGGGAGGTCGGATTTTGCATCGGCTATATTTTTAAGCCATGGACCATTGTAGCACGTCTAAATAGGTAAGTTATGTTTGTGTGCATGGTCGTTTCCGGGCAAAACGTTATCGTTTGTGTTTTGAGCCTCTTGTGAATTCATTTCGCATTTTTTTTGCATATTCTGATCTAGGGGCATTATGGACCTTTCACATCAGTTTTATTTTCTTCTTTCGACATGGTTGCTTAGAAAACATGATTTTAGGGGAGGTTTCTTTTTCGTGTTTTTCCAGAAAAGGTCGTCTTGGTACCGGAAATCCCTCGTGAAGTTTCAGCTTCCAGTTTTCATTTAGCAGCTTTATGACCCTCTTGTTTAGTTCTGATCTAGGGGCAGTTTGGGGATTTCACAGTGAGTTTTTTTCGATTCCGTTCACGTTGTCGAGTAGAAAACTCGATTTTAGGGGGGGTTTCTTCTTTGTGTTTTTCCAGAAAAACTCGTTTTGACCTCCGTTTCAAGCCTCAGTTCTGGGCAGATAAAAAAAAATGTAGCAGCAGCCAAGGGCTGCCACCAGCCATGTCCTTGGGCGCAGGCATGCACGCCGGTGGGCTCGCGCATGGGCGCCGTGTGCGCCATGACCCCTCGTCGGGCCGCCACGACGTCAATTCTTCTTTTGGGCTTTTCTCCTTCGTCTGAACTCCGATTCAAGTGAATTTTTTTTTTTTAACTTGACTAATTTTTCGCTGTCTTTCCAACGGTGTGCTCGGTTGCACCCGGTTCTTCTTGGATAATTACCAATTTACCCTTTTTGCCTTAAGTGCTTGTTTTTCTTCGTCATGCCGTTTCTTCTTCGTCCGACTCCGAATCATGCGATTCTTGAGTCCATCTTGATTAGTTTTTCGTTATCCTTCCAGCGGTGTGCTCAGTAGCACCCGAATCTACAGTTTTCAGAAATGACTATTTTGCCCCTGGGGGCTTATTTGTCATATTTTCGATCTTTTGCTTCCGCATCAATTCTTGTCGAGTTCCACGACCTAATGGAAGGTCACTTTGACTTCTTAGAGTCATGTTTTCTGTTTTCGCTTCCGCATTCGGATCCGTTATCGGATCATTCTTACGGTTCATCACAGGACACGCTGGCCTAAAAACCAGGGTCATCACAGATTATTACTTTTTAAATGACACAATAACCCTTTCAAATTTCCTCTCCTTATATCTAATATTAATATATTTTGTCAAGATTCAAAAAACATATATATATGAAAAAAGATGATTCAAAAAAAATTTTATCTGTATTGAATAAATTATCTCTTTTGATAAGATTCAAAAAATAAAAAGGTTATTTCTATTGAATAAATTATTTCTTTTTACGGGCCATAAAAAAAATATCAAATTTTTTTTTTCAAAATAGGAATTATTGACTCATTATCATTATTAGAGGAATTCCTCTACTGAAAGTGATATTATTGACGATTTTAATATCTGATTCATTATTGACTCATTATTAGAGAAATTCCTCTACAAAAACTGTAATGTTTTATAATTTTTCAATACTTTGCATTTTTTTTTTTTTTCTCTTTTTGTTTTTTTGTTTATGAGTGTCAAATAGTCAGATAGATCATTAGCTTTAATCACTAATGCCTGTCAAAGTAATAGATGTATATTAATGATTAAAGAAACAATCTTTTACATATAAAGTATAAACGAAAGAGATACACAATGTAATTATATATAAAGAGTCCCGATGTATATTAACGATCAAAGATACAATCTTTTACATATAAAGTATAAACGAAAAGGAAACACAATCTAATTATATATAAAGAGTCCTTACAAGTATGCAATCTAGAAAGGAGATTACAACTTTCTAAATAGTTAATTACCTTCTATTTACAACTTTCTAAATAGTTAATTACCTTCTATTTTTAAATAGGTCCTATTATTATTATATTTACGTGAAGTAGTAAATTTTTACCTTCTATTTACAACTTTCTAAATAGTTAATTACCTTCTATTTTTATTTACCAGGATAAATAGTAAGACTCATATAATCATACATATATACATATATATACATATATATATATATATATATATATATATATATACATATATGGTATCTCCTAATAAGCATGGCATGTCACAATGAAAACATATATCAACAAAAAATAATCAAAACTGAAACATTGGCTATATATATAATTATATATATATACACAATAAAATTAAAAATTTATTATTGTATTATTAAGGAAAGAATTAGTCGAACACTAAAAAATGGAAAGAATGTTTTTGGTATATAGAAAGTTAGAAACCTTACGTTCCTTATATCCTTACGGACCTTACCTTACTTCAAAGGTCACCTCACCTAAGTCCTTTCCAAAAAAAAAAAAAACACTCTGCCTCCCTTCTTCTCAGTTTCCACTTTCCATTCATGTTATTCTAGATCGGATCCCTTTTTCTCAGTTTCCATCTCTTGTTGTTCTAGATCAGATTCACCGTTCGCCTCCCCCTCTCTCTCTGCAATTGCTAACTTGTAGGTATGGGATTTGTTTTAATTTTTTTTTTCCTAAATTAACTAATCAAGGCTGTAAGACTGTAATTCTTGTTTTGCAATTTATTTTTTTTTTTCATATTGTTTAAAAAATTAAAACCCATATCTTTCACTTTCCAGATCCAGATCTCAGACCCCTATTCGCCATCGTCCTCTGTCCTGCCGTCCTTCGTTATCGTCTGCTGTCATATTGGTAGGTACTACAGATTTATTTATTTATTTTTTGTTTTAATGAGTTGAATCCATTGCAATTTCTTGTTATTGTTGTTTTGTCTTGCATATTGAAGTATAAATTTATATAAAAAACACAATCTGCTATTATTGATTTACTCTCAACTCTCAAGCTTGCCCCCCTCTCTCTCTGTAACGCTAACTTGTATGTATAGGTTTTGTTTTAATTTTTTAATTTTTTTTCTTTTTCTAAATCAACTAATCAAGGCTGTAAGACTGTAATTCTTGTTTTGCAATTTTTATTTTTTATTTTTTAATTTCAGATTGTTCAAAAAATAAAAACCTATATAAGATTGTAATTCTTGTTTTGCAATTTTTATTTTTTTTTTAATTTCAGATTGTTCAAAAATCCAACCCCTATTCTTGTTATTGTTGTTTTGTCTTGCATATTGAAGTAGAAATTTATATATACACAGAATTTGCTATTATTGATTTAATGAGCATTTTTTATTTTTATTTTCTTCATACATACGTTTGAGAAGTATTGAAAATTTGGGTTGGTGAAAAAGAGAGAGACAAAGGCAACAAATGAAGCCATAATAAAAACCATGCCAACTTTGCAGAAAAAGAGTTATCTACAAAAATCTGAGGTGTGGAATCATTTCATAAAACAGAAGAAAGAAAAGGGGGGGGGGGGGGGCCTTCTGATAAGGCTAATTGCAATTATTGTGGGGGCTTATATAGCTGTCTTACTATGAATGGAACTAGCACTCTAATTCGACACTTAGGAGTCTGTTCTAAGTATGATGGTAATAAAGACCCTACTCAAAAAATCTTAAGTTTTGGAGGTGATGGTTCTGGTGTTAGTAATTGGAAGTTTGACCAAAAAGACTGTCGCAAAGAGCTTACAAGAATGATTATTGCTGAAGAACTTCATTTTAGTTTTGTGGAGAAAACTTATTTTAAAAGGTTTTTAAGTGTGTTACAACCAAAATTTAAGTTGTTTTCTCTAACTACTATGACAAAAGATTGCATTAATTTATATGAAGCTGAGAAATGCAAACTTAGATGGATTTTTGAGTCATCGGCTTCAAGAATTTGTCTTACCTCTGATTTGTGGACTTCCATCCAAAATCTTGGTTATATGTGTCTTACGGCACATTATATTGATAAAGATTGGAGGTTACAAAAAAAAATTATTAATTTTCGTGTGGTTCCAACTCCACATAATGGTGACATCATTGCACAAGCTGTTGAAGGTTGTTTGTTGGAGTGGGGAATTGATCAACTTTGCACGTTAACTATTGACAATGCAAGTTGTAATGATACGGTAGTTTCAACTTTGAAGAGGAAGTTCAATAAGCGCAATGGGCTGTTATTGGAGGGTAAGATGTTTCATATAAGGTGTTTTGCACACATCTTGAATTTGATAATGAAGGATGGAATTGATGAGGTGAGTAGTTCCATCATTAAGATTCGTGAAGCAGTGAAGTATGTTAGGAATTCTCCTTCTCGTTATCAATGTTTCAAGAAGTGTGCTGAGGTGGAGAAGATCACATCTAAAAGAACAGTGTGTTTGGATGTTCCAACACGATGGAATTCAACATATTTAATGCTTGGTGCAGCACTTGAGTATCAAAAAGCCTTTGAGCGGTTAGAGGAGAAAGATTTAACTTTTGCAAACGGTGCTCCATTTGAAGAGAATTGGTTGAAGGAAAAGAACTTACACAAGTTCTTGGAGCACTTTTACATTATCACAAATCGTGTATCGGGGTCCAAATATGTCACCTCTAACACCTATTTTCAAGAAGTGACTGGAATTCAAACTTTGCTACAAAAGTGGTCAAGAAATGAAAATGTTTTCTTTAGCAATATGGGATAAAAATGATCCTAAAGTTTGAGAAGTATTGCAATATTGACAAAATTAATATTTTGTTGATCATAGCAGTGGTTTTAGATCCTCGTTACAAGTTGGGATTTGTAAAATTTTGTGTTGCAAAATTTTGTTCGGATACCTAGGTTGAAGAGTTGACGGGGAAGATAAGAGATACCATGGCTACACTTTATAAATATTATTCATCAATTGAGTTGGCAAAAAATGTTGAGTCAACTAAAACAAATGCTGATGTTGAAATGGATGATGTTGAGGGGGTGGATAATGTACTTGATGAGCATAGGAGGAATTGGCGTAATCACTTGAAAAATGAGCAAAGGGAGGTGATTAAGTCAGACTTAGAACGTTACTTGTATGATGCTATTGAAGGGGAATCACCAGAATTTGATATTTTGGCGCGGTGGAAAGTAAAAGCCCCTACATATCCTGCCCTTTCAGAAATGGCTAGAGACGTTTTGGCTATTCTAGTTTCAATTGTGACTTCTGAGTCAGCTTTCAGCAAAGGGGGATGAGTACTTGACTCATTTCAAAGTTCCTTAACTCCTTATATTGTTGAGTGCTTGATTTGTGCCCAAGATTGGCTGAGGAGTTCATCAACATCTATTGATATGGAAAAAAAATTAGAGGAACTGGAAGCTTTAGAAAAAGGTATTACTTTTCTTCACTTTCTTTATTAATTTTATATGTATATAAAATTGTTTTTGTGATCTCTATAGTTGACAAATAATTAATATTCTCATTTGCATATAGGTTTGGAGATCAAAGTTGGAGAACCTGGAGCTTGCACCACTTCAGCATCATCTAGCAAAACTCAAGAGGTAATATTATCAATTATGTGTTTATGAGATAGTTTTGACAAATGATTTATATATTTCATGTTTTTTTGTTACAAGTTATCTATAATTTGATATTGTCATATCCCTTTTGTAGGAATGAGGAGCATGTAGATTGGAGAATGAATGACCAACAATTTTTTCTGTTGTTTTGGAAGATGAATGTTATTATTAATGTTGGTTATGAATTTTATATTTTGTTGGAATGTGGCTTGTTATTTTGTTAACTTTGTACTTATTTATTATTAATGTTGTACTTGTATGTTTTATTGTTTTGTAATGGATGCATCATGAACGCATGGAATGTGGCTTGTTATTTTGTTAACTTTGTATTTAAAATTATACTGACTTTTGCCTAGAAAATTAGGTGTTCTAGAAGCCAGGGGAAGTTAATAATCTCATTTGTAATTCCTTGTAAAAGTGGACTTAAATGCTGGCAGAAGAAGAAGGTGCATAGAGATGAATTAGATCTTCCAAGACTGATGATTATCGAAGATGTTATTCTCTTATAGATGGTCCGCACTTGCTGCTTTATGAATAAATATTTGATAATTTGTGTATGGTCTAAAAGAAAAGGTTTATATGTTACTGAATCTGTGAACTAAAATGTTGTGACTGATGTTGGTAATTGTGGCTTGTGTCTATCGTTACACAGGGAGCAATAATGGGGCTGTAATCCAACTTCAAACACTAATAAAATTGAGAGCCTGATTTAAAAGACCAAGAAAACCCAAAAATATAGCCCGAATAAAGAACCCGAGTTTAGCCCGCGTTTTAAAAATTAAGTATGGGTTGGGCTTGGGCTCACTAGGCGAAATTATACATGGGCTTGGAGTGAAGGTTTATACGTTGGGCTGAGCCCAAGTTAAGTGTCCAACCCGCCTGAGTTGCAGCCCTAATTGTGATATTGTTATACATGGCTATGATAAGATTATTAATATTCTTGTATGTGATATGATTATTGAGATAGCTAATAAGTTAGGCTCATTGATATTTTATATCATTTTTAGATATAGTTGTAATGGATTGATGTGTAAGTGGGTTGACTAATAAGTCACGACACTCTACTTGTGCCATTGTTAGATATAGCTTTATTTATTGCTTATGTGTGTGTGTGTGTGTGTGTGTGTGTGTATGTAAGCCTGATACGAGCTTGAGGTCTCGGGATCTATGGTTAGGATTAAGGCATATATTGCCAGATTGGATGGGTAATTGGAATAAAAGATGTATGGACCCTAGTAGAAGGGGGACTCTGGACCACTTAGTGTGTGATTTTTCCAAAAGATACCCATTACACGGTTAAGACTGCCCTATTAACTAGTGAGAGTCTTAGTGTGTATATATGTATGTATCGACTATATAGATATTGCATGAATTGGTTTGGGATGTATCGCTTATCGGTTCTCTAATTTTGTTGTTGTAGAATGTGATAACCGTGTCATCTTTTTTCCTTTTTTCGGCTTATTTTTTTTATTAATTAATTATTTGTTTTATTTTTTTTTCGGGTTACCTTAGGGGTTTTGTTGACCCTAAGGTAAGTTTCGGTGTCCGGAACCGATTTCCGGCACCATATGCATTGTATTATTTTATCTTTTACTGTCAATGCATGATTTAATTTAATAGAGAAGTATGCTCATTTAATTTTAAATTCTGGGGGTACAGATGCATAGTTTCTTCGGAAATATTTTCATTTTTTGGAATTATTGCGTAATTAAGTTTTTGAGATATTTTGTCTTAGGGACCTTTTTGCAATTATTCTTTTGAGAAAGTGTGACAACACTTTTATTGGTTCACTTGGTGACTTTCCATTGGAACACTTGTTAGCCTAGGATGATGATATGTGTAAGGCTTAGATTTAGCCTTGTGATGAGGCTTAGGATGGTGACAAGTGGAGGGTGGATGTGTGTGTGTGAGGGAGAAGTAGTGTTAATATAGTATATGTGACTAACAAATACATTTTAGGTTAGTGAAAAATCTAGTAAAGTGTTGTACGTCTTCTTCATTTTTCACACCTAAGACACCATTGTTGACATGGAACCCTAGCCTCCATTACTCATTTTCAAGCCTCTTCTCTTTGGCTTTTGGTCTTCCACCTTGATGACAAAAACTTTTTCACATCCATCTCTACCACACATTTGCTTGGTTTCACATTTTGCTTCCATTTCTTTAAGGTTTCTAGAGATACAATTCTCTAATGAGGTAGTGGTTGCCATATGTTTATATTCTTGTGTATCTTGTGTTCTTTGAGGTTGATATATATTGTATGCATGTTATATGAAGTTCTAGGGTCGTATTTAGATGAATGTTGTTATATCTAACCTATGGTTTCATTTTGTGCAAGACTTGTATATGATTAATCTCTTGTGTAGTTGTTATTTCATTTAGTAGAGAATTAAATTCTAGTATTATTTTGTTGTTATAACTATAGTATTCTAGGATTATTCTTGTCATTGATTATGTGTTAAATTAAACTATGTTGTTGTCTAAAATTAGGGGTTTGAGCTTACTTTGATAGCATGAATAAATTGTTTATGTTGATAACCTTGTAGTAGTGTAGTTGTATCCACATTGTAAACTTGATATTTCAAATGTCATTGTAGTTTTGAAGACTTAGAGTAGGAATTATGTAGATGCATGTTTTAGGTTCAAAATCCTAGCATGATTAAATTATTTATGTTCATAGCATAATGTTAGTATAAGTGTATACAAATTATGGACTTGACTATGTGGCTATTGAGTAGTCTACATTATTTTAATATTATGACATTATTGGTATATTTTCAGTGTGAGTGAATCATGATGTGTGTGTGCCACTTTGGCCTTAGGAGCATGGTGGTCATCATTTTGTTCATAAAGTTCATGAGGTTATAAGTTGTGTGTGTACGACATGCATAACATGATTGAAAGATAGAAACTATCCGAACTTGAGAAGTGGACATTGAGTCCAAGGGCTGAAATCCCCTATTCACACTAGGCCAATGGGGTGCGGAAGTGCACCATTCATTTAATCATATAGGATATCCGGCATAACATCGCATTGCATCATGAAGTCACATGCGTGTGTTACATTATAGCGGAGTTTGTGTGTGTTGAGTTATAGTCCTTGGAGTGGTGTAAACTTTGTAATCCTACTAGTTTTGTGGTGGTTGTTCTTGCAAGTATATTGCTATTGTTTAATTTCGCATTTTATTTCAAGTTGACAATCCTAAGTAGTTGTAGCTTGTAGTTGGCATTGGTGTTTCTAATATTGTTTAATTGCGTTACTTGTTGTGGATTGCCTTCAAAATGTTTCAAAGTTAGCTTTAGGATAATCCCTTAGCTTCCCTTTGAAACTAGATGCTAAAAAGCATGATCCACATGTGTTTGGTTTATATTACACTTGCAAAAACCATTGGAACTTTAAGGTATATGCATATGCTTCATCCTACAAAGTAACTCATTTACTCACCCTAGTTGATATTTGTTTTTTACGCAAGGAAACTCTCTTTTTGGATGCACAACATCCCTAGCCTGGCTTGAGTTTCATTTGGATACCTTTTGTATATTTTTGATATGCAAGTGTTAACATGATATATCTCTTTTGAAATAGTTAATGTATAACTTGTTTAGAATCATGCCTTGCTTCATTTTGGATATGTAATGTGAACTTAAATACTCTATTTTGATGCTACTTTAATTTATATGTAATGTGGCCAAGGGCCAAACACTTTTTATGTATGGAATGTATGACATTTTGTAACATGTTTTTATCTCTTTGACGAAGTTTAATCTTGGGGGCATTTTAGTCATTTTATGTTACTTTTTATTCTTGGTTTGGACCATGGTTGATCAGAGGACTCATTTTTAGGGGGAGTTTATTCACAAACTTTTTCCAAAAAGTCTCGTTTTAGCCTTGAAAATCACGTGTGTTCGAAGAAAAAAAAAACTACTCACAACCAAATCGATCGTACCGGGCACATTATGGCATTTTTTTTGTAAAATTTTAAAAATTCATATCTTCGTCGTTCTAACTCCAAATCCAGTGATTTTTGAGTCAAAGTTTATTATTTTTGTGTTGTTTATCCAATGGTAGGCACAATAGCATCCATTTCTATTTGAAATGACCATTTTACCCCTAGTATATTACCTTGACCTTTTTAAACCCTAGCTTCCGCA